CTACAAATTCATTGACAAGCTGACTGTTGACGTGGCGGCCGACCCTAAGGCCGACGTGGCGGTTACAGCTTACCCAGTGCAAGCTGGGTTGAGAAGGTCCTACGGAGCAGGTTACCTGCCTCCCCCGCCCGGAGTATACCTGCCCCCACCACTCCCCAGATATGCATACCTGTCTCCGCTGCCGGGTAGACATGGCCACGGGCCGGTTTCGACTCGGAACCGGCTAGGAACCAGTTCGGGTCAAACTCGGGACCGGCTCGTTGACCGGGCCCGCGGTTCGGAACCGGCTCGTTGACCGGGCCCACGGTTCGGAACAGGAACCGGCCTGGAACCGCCGGTTCCAGGCCCGGTTCCAAAAAAAAAAAATGCAGCAATGCCTGCACGTCTGCAGGCCCTGCTACAGCTTGCAGGCTTAGGGCAGGTGGCCGTTGGCCACTTGGCCTTGGCAACGGCTAATATATATATATATATATATGAAAGTAGCCGTTGCCACTTTAGCCATTTATTATTATTTTTCCCTAAATTTCCTTCTCATTTTTTTCTTATAAATTCTCTCAAATTCTCTCAATACTCTCAAATTCTCAATTTTCTCAAATTCTCTCAATTTTCTCAATCGCAATTCTCTCAATTTTTTCAATCCGCGCAATTCTCTTTTAATTCTCCCAGTCAATTTGCTCAATTCTCTCAATTCACTCGAAAAATGGTAAGTGGAAGTCAAGCGGCAACTAGCAAAGGTAAGAATAGAATGACGGAATCCGAACATTCTTTTGATCCTCGTGTTTATGCAGATTTTCAAGATGATGAAATCAACATTTTTCCTGATGTGGAGCGAGTCCCAACACAAGAAATTCTTCATGCCGAAATGTCAACAACAAAGGAGGCGGAGCGGAAACTTACATCTGACATTTGGGACCACTACACGAAAACGGAAAGGTTTGATATTGGTTCAAAAAGGTATGATATAATTTGTAAACATTATGGGGCAATATATAAATATACAGGTGGACAAGGATATGGAACATTCAAACGACATCTTAGAGCAAACATCCAACCGAAGCGGGAATCAATACCAAGCAACAATAAATTTTCGGATACGTCAATCCTAACACTTCTCATTTATTTCGTTTTAATGAAAAAACTTATAAGGAAGAATTAGGTAAATTTGTTTCGGTTGAGCATTTATCATTTAATTTTGGAGAAAGATTTGGTTTTAATCAATTTGTACAAAAAGCTTGTGCTCCACAAGCAAAACGTATTCCTAGAAATACACTTAAACGAGTAATTAAAGATCTTTACAAAAATGGAAAAAAAGATTTATAAGACTTTTTTATGCAATTTAATGGATGTGCGCATATAGGTAGTGATATTTGGAGTGATCATTAGCAAATTCATTCTTACATGGGCATAACATGTCATTGGATAGATGACAATTGGAATATTCAAAAAAGAGTCCTCACATCTAGAGTTTTCGATGGTAAGCATACGGCAAATAATATTTATAGAATAATTAGGCAAATTTTAGAAGAATATTGTTTGCTTAACAAAAATTTTTCAATTGGTTTTGATAATGCCGCGGCAAATACCGCTTCAATTGCTGATTTAGAAAATATTTGTAGACCCGCTTTTGGTGGAAAATTTTTTCACGTTAGATGTGCTTGTCATGTTTTAAATTTATGTGTACAAGATGATTTGAAAAATCTTGATATTTTTCTTGAACCAATAAAAACAGCGATTCAATTTTTATGGAAACATCTCAAAAAATGAAAGAATGGAGTAGATTTTGTAAAGCAAATGGAAAAAGGCCAAGAAGATTTCCAAGAGATGTTCCAACTCGTTGGAATTCTACTTTCCACTTGCTTAATGAATCTTTTGCATATAAAGATTTATTATGTGCATTCATTTCTAATAATATACCTCAAATTAATTTATACCCAAAAGAGTAGGATATTTGCAAAAAAAATTTAGATATTTTAAAAGTTTTTAATTATGCAACTTGTACTTTGTCTGGTGTTTATTATTCTACTACGCATTTATTTTTTGTAGAGTGTATTACTATTGTCGGAGTTTTTGAGGAATATGAAAATGATGTTGAATTACAAAATACTATAGTAACAACGAGAATGAAATGGCTACATTATTATAGCGAAATTCCTATTATTTATTTAGTTGCTTGTGTTTTTTTATCCACGTTGCAAATTAAATGGTTTGAGTGATTATTTGCATATATATTATCAATGTTTACATTATAATACGGTAGATGTTACAACCATACTAAGGGAGGTTAAAAACGTAGTAATAGAATTATATAATGAATTTTGTACTAAGGGAGGTGATATTGGATCTTCTCAATCTACCGAGACACAAAGTGAGAGTACAGGTAAAATTAGTAGATGGTACCAACTTTTATTACATAGACAAACAAAATAAAAAGGGAGTAATATGAAACATTTCTGAATTAGAGATGTATCTAACCGTTTCCTTTGAGTTTTCTGAATCCGAAGGTAGTACAAGTCTTTTAATTTTGGATTGGTGGAAGAGGCACGCAAGTCAATACCCAATCCTTTCTCTTATTGCAAAATAAAATTTTGCAACCCCATGTTCGACAGTTATGGTCGAACAAGCATTCAGTGCCGGAGGTAATATTTTGGATGAACAACGTTCAAGATTAGTTCCGAAATCAGTGGAGGCTTAAGCTTGCGTCGATGATTGGACGAAGGCTCAATATCGACAACAAGAGATAGATCGGAATAATGAATCTGAATTCTTTGACGATGGAGATACCATCACTACCGGTATCGATACCGAAATGGGTAGCGACGACTAAGGGTAAAAGAACTATATAGATTTTGATTCTTCTATCCCCAAGAAGATATGTAAGGCGCTTAATGATAATTCATTAAGTTCAAGCCCTATCTCTTTCTCTCTTTTTTTCCCCAAATTTGAATGCAATGTACATTTTGATTACATTTTATATTGAATAATTTATTATTTCATAATTTGATAATTCATTATTTTTTTATTTCATAATTTATTTTTTTAATTTTTACCGGCCGGTTCCAAATCAGGCCGGAACCGGAACTGTCCCGGAACCGGAACCGCCAGGGGTGGTTCCGATTCCGGTTCATACATGACCACGAATCGAAACCGCCGATTCCAAACCGAAACCGGCCGGTTCCGAACCGTGGCCATGTCTACTGCCGGGTGCGTATCCACCGCCATAGTACGGTGCTTATGAGTATCCTCCGCCGCCCCTGGCGGGTTATGGGTACACATAGCCTCCGCCGCCGGGCTATAGGTATTACCTGAACTAGCAGGCGCAATAGGCTCCGTAGAAGAATAAGTTCGGGTTGGGATTAGGGGCCGGATTGGCGAGAGGAATGCTCGGCGGGTTTCTGATCATAGACATGACGTTCGACGCGGAGGCTTACGATTGCTTATTTCGTTATTTTCAATCGAACTCATTATGACATCCTTGGATTAACTCATTGAGATATTGTGTGCTTTGGCCTGTCCATACTGAGTCTCACGGTTTTATCTTTTGTCGTACAGGTTGGCATCTTCCCAAGAGATCACCTATTCTAGGAGTGCTCCCACCTAAGCACACTTAAATTTGGAGTTCCAAATCTAAGCATTATCGTTACGTTAAAAGGCACTTCGGTGAGTTAATTCCAATTTTCATATATATACATTCTAGAATCGTTCTCCCCCTATTCGGTGTATAATTCGATTTATTCATGTCCTCTTCACCATCCTAGAAGCCTACCAGGAGCTGCTCTTTGTCCAAACCCTTTGACCTCGGCGACCACTCCCAACCCTCGTTGAACTGGGTTGTTACAGGCCCACTAGCTTCCGCGTGGTTTGTCTTCAAACCACACACCTACTAGAGAGGGTCCCGCTCTGATACCATATTGTAACATCCCTAAATTAACTCACTGAGGTATTATCCGCTTTGATCCATCCATATTAAGTTTTGTCCTTTGGCGTACAAGTCACCTATCTTGGAAGTGCTCCCACCTGAGCATGCTTAGATTTGGAGTTCCAAAGCTAAGTATTGCCGTTACGTCGAAAGGCGCCTCTATAAGTTAATTCCAGTTTCACATATATATATCCTATAATCGTTCTCCCCTTATTCGGTGCATAGTTCGGTATATTCCTACCTCCTTCGCCATCCTAGAAGTCTACCAGGAGTCAATCCTTGTCCAGAACCTTTGGCCCCCGCGATCACTCTCCGTCCTCGTCGGACCGGGTCGTTACACTCATAGTCTTTGTTTTTTGTATAAGTGCAATAGAATCAATTCATATTTATATTTTTAATAAGGCGACGTTGGATTGCTAATTATCAATTACACTTCTCACTATAAAAAAGTTAGTGCACCGTAAGTTGCAACTTTTATTAGTTGGTTGCTTAATAGGATATATATGTACTTTTTAACAAAATCCTTTATGTATATCGTTAGATTGATTCCTCTGATTAATTAGGTTGATTAATGACATAACTCTTTTAAAAAGAGTAGAAATTGCAGAATTATTTTGTAGCATATCTTACAACTCCTTCGGTCATTGATGAAGTCATCGTCGTATATTTACCTTAAATATCAGCCTTAGAGATAAGTACTTTGTAAAACATCCTAACATTATCTATCAATGCAATTATTATCTTATCATAAGATAAAATTGAAATGACGTCAACATATTGGTGCGCTACTTGACCATTCGATACAGTTCGCTAATTAGAGAGGAAGTAGGCAAAATTATAGTAGTTCTTGCCAAGATTGGAAAAACTATAACGTGTTTAAATGAGAAATCTATATTAAGCTTGGTGATGTAGCTATGGTCTTCTACATCCAATTTCTGTCAAGCCCTTCTCAAAAGCTACTCACATTCAGCACGCCTATGTTACCTAATTTCATCAAATAAATGTAAGTTGCAAGTAATACCGACAGTATGTTTAAATCAAATGTGTGTTGAAGAACAATTTCACAAAATATACCATTAAACACTCTAACTATACAATTACCATGAGTAGGTTCATCAAGTAACACAAACTTTGCTTAAATAGCCTCTAAAAGGACAAAGGAGACAACCGAAGTAATTCACAAACTTCGCTTAAATAGTCTCTAGGAGGACAAAGCAAACAACCAAATATAAATATCAAATTCCAACAATATCATATATTATTAATTAAAATCATGGACATTTCCATTAGATTTCATAAGTGATCCCCACTTTGACCAGCCTCTTGTGGGGAATGTTGAACAGTTCCTCTTGCTGCCTCACGCACCTCTTCAACCAGTTGTACAAGCAATTGATTACAAACCTTTTTGCAAAACCTGAACCACTCGAAGCTATCACCTCACTCTGTCCCATTAGATACATGATCCCTCCAATCTTGATTGTTTCATCCACCAATCCAATCTCTCTTTGCACTCCCTCTTCATTGATCATAGCGATTCCATTATCACTAGCCTCGCCTTGCTTGTCGGCAGCGGGTGGCGCGTTGTTCTGAATGAAATCCTTCAATCGGTCAATCAAGACCTTCTCGAAAAACTGCGGCTCCATCTTTGCATCTCGATATCCATATCTCACAATGCACCGATATATGCCATACTTCTGCGGCACCACCTGTCCAAAGAAGAACCGCTCCTCAAGGGGTACCTTGTTTATGGGCAGTGACTTGATTGAGACAAAGACAAGAACCGAGTGCAATGCGGGTACATTGGCGACATATTGGGTGAATAGTGGGGAAATGCCATCGACGAGCTCGGTGTAGAATAGGGCAACCCCAGGGGCTCGGTGGATGTTTGTGTTTGACACGATCGTGACGAGGGCTTCTCTCGAGACCTTGTTCTCGAGCTCATACTTGTACTTCTTTTGGTATCCGTAATTCCATAGCAACATGATGGTGACCATTATGACAGAGAAGACGAGTGGGACGTAACCCCCATCCACGAATTTGTAGAGGACCGAGCTAAGAAACACGTACTCCGCAAGCCCGATGGTGAGGACATAGAGGATTATGAGGAGTATGTTGGTCTTCCAAATCATGACCATCACGATTACGAGGAATGTGGACGTGACAGTGAAAACGAATGCTACCGCAATTCCTGTAATAGAGATTGACGAATAAATGCAATTTTTCTTTCAATAACTTCAATTAGGTAGCTTAATGAATTAGCGAATTTGCATAAGTAGACTAAATGTGTGTGTGTATATAGCGTGATCCTTTTTGCTTACCATAAGCATTGCCCAACTTTAATGTGGTTTCGAAGCCAAGGGTGACACCAACACAGGCCAACATGAGTAAGGTGTTGACCTCAGGTATGTAAATCTGACCCTCGTGCTTTTGCGAAGTGTGCACGACCTTCACGTGTGGGAAGCACCCGAGCGCGACCGACTGCTTCACTATGGCGAACGTGGCCGATATCATGGCTTGACTTGCTATTATCGCCGCCAACACCGCTATCACAAACATTGGCCAATACACCGATTCTGCATCAAAACATTAGACAGATTCATTGTATGACCTGACAGGATAAATGATGCATCGGATGAAGTAGCACGAGGAAGCCTACCCGGTATCGAGCTGTAGAAAGTGCTAGCAACATCTTGAGTGTGCTTTCGGAGATACGCCGCCTGACCAAAGTAGGCGAGGATGATTGACGGAAAGACAAGTAGGCATGAACTCAATTGAATTGACAGGATATTAAAATGCCCCAGATCAGCAAACAATGCTTCAGAACCTATAATCAAAGGCTCAAAGCGTAAAACCACAATCAATTCATGAAAAAAAAAGTTATATATCTTTGTTAAAATGAAAAAAGATTTGACTAATAGATGAATCATTTGAATGATGTCAGCTATCAATAATTAATCAATGAAAAGACTAAATGTTTGTATTACCAGTTAGACAGAGAATGACCCCTCCAAGAGAAATCCATGCTTCCTTTTTGTTTCTCCTGAAGTAATGGACGATGTAGAGCGGATTGATGGCTTTGATCACTCCCGAGTCATGTTTTGCGATATTGTAGATGCCGATGAGTGCTATACTGAGGAACCATATAGAGAGAATCGGGGCGAAGCTGTATCCGACTTTGTGAGTACCGAACCTTTGGATTTGAAACAGAAAGATCAAGATCACCACAGAGATCCACATGATTTGATCATCTCCAAGTGAACTCGCAGCTTCTTTTATGCCCCCAATAGCCGACAATACTGCCCAAAAAAGGAGAAAAGAATCAGAGCCATCTGTCGAATTCAACCAACAGAACTAATTGTATCAATAAATTAGCCGAGACATTAACTATAGTGTATCATTTTATAATGTAATATCACCGATTATGATTGAATGTACTATAAAAAATCATTAGGATGTATATATGTATGTGTGTGTCTAATTTCCTTTGTAGATTAAGGGAAAAGTTGAAAACCTATCGGTGCATCATTTTTTTTATAAAAAAATCGAAATGGGAAAATTATTACCAGATATACATGGTGTGAGGATTCCGTCTCCGATGACCATGGCGGTGCCCAACATAGTTACAAACAAGAGCAAGTACTTGGCCGCCTTGCTATTCTCGAGCAATGACTTCATGGCGGAGGCCCGCCGGAGGCGGCGGCTCGGCACCTCAAGTCGGTAGTTCGAGACTTCCTTGTCTTCGGCTTGTTGGTTAGGGGTCAAGCTCACCTTGGCATTGCGGCACATAAGAGAGTACAAAGCAAACGTCCCTCCTATATTTTCATAGCAAAAAACCTAACTACATTAGTACAAGATATTGGCATAGACAAAAAACACCCTGCTATGTCAAATGAATTTTGTGGTAAAATGGTGAGAGAGAAACCGCTTACCATCGCCATTGTCATTTGCTGATAGAACAATGAAGACATACTTGATCATGAAAATGAGGATGATCGAGTAGAAGATTAGAGATAGTGCTCCGAGGATATCGTCTTCGTGTTTTATCCCGTCAGGAAAAATTCCTGGCATGACATAGAGAGGCGACGTGCCTAAATCGCCATACACCACCCCGATGCTCTGAATAGCAAGCTTCAGTACCATCAACCGTGGCAAATTCTGCATGTAGAAAGACGTAACCAAATCATGATCATAAAAGCATTTCCTAGTTTCACTCTTGCTATGATTTTGTTGAACTTTCAATTGGTTATAACAAATAATCCAAGAACTAACATAAGAAAGGAAAGATGTGAACTAACAATTCGAGAGAATGATAAACATTAAACGGGAAAATTACCAAAAAAGTCATAACCTATTGCAATTGTGCCAATTCAGTCATAAACCTTTTTTTTGTGCCAATTAAGTCTTAAAAATTTTGTAATTATATCAATTCAGGGCGCTAACGTGGACAATTTTGTTTATGATATTTTAATATTTTTTCAAATTTTTAATTTTTTTTTCTTTTTCCTTTTTTTCTTTTCTTTCTTTTTTTTTTCCTTCCTTCTTTCTCTGGATGAGGTGGAGCTTGCCTGGCCACTGGTGAGGCTTGACCTCACCGTCACGCCACGTTAGTGTTGGCCGGCCAAAATTGACCGGATGGACTGAATTGATAGAAATGCAAAAGGTTTAAGACTAAATTGGCATAAAAAAGTTGTTTAGAACTGAATTGACACAATTTCAATAAGTTTAGGACTTTTTAGGTAAATTTCCCAACATTAAACTCCACATATCTCTTCACCAACTCCATTATTTTCACCTCCCTCTATATTTTTTTATCACAAATTTTCAACTTTTACGCCTTATAACAATTTCAGCACTTTAAAATTTGCAAATATATAGATCAATATTCGTATATCCACGCAATTATGTGCAACTGGAAATTTCTCTAGCTAACCAGCTAATATATAATGGCAAACCCCACACTCTATTATCCATCTGCTTTTTTATCTCTACGTTTCTCCCCTATGCATTTTTACATTTAGCTAATTCGAGTGATAATGCCATTTTCAAATTTTAAACAACATATCCCTTTCAAATTTAAATTAAAATGTTGTTTTATCAACTCGCATAATCGAAAGGAAATGAAAAAAAATGTGTGTCGTTTCTATTAATCCATTTCACCAACAATAAGTTTCCGATCTACTATTAAAAATTGTATTAGTTACACCTACATGCAAACTTTATTCGAACTATGGAGAAAATGACACTAAATTCATATGGCACTCACTTTAGTACCAAAACATTTGACGGATCACTTCAGTTTCACTTTGGTAAAAAAAAGAAAATGACCACTTAAGCATCAACAATGATTTGGGATAATCCAACGTGACAATATTTTAATATTTTTTCCCGATTGATGTGTCTTGCCAAAAATTCGACATGGCAAAGGTTAATGAAAAGTGATCACTTGAGTGCTAATTTTTTTAAAAAGTGATCACTTATGTTTTTTAACTTTTTAAAAAGTGATTTGTTGGTTTCACTTTCTTAAACATGATTTGACCACTTGATTAGCAACGCACGTTGTGTACAAACTTGAAACACATAAAAACATTTACTCCATCAGACAAATCAAACAGCATTGCATTCAGAATAAAGATATTCTTACATCAACATAGAATCCCCAACAAGTCAAAGACCTCCCAAACAAAAAATTTCCCTAATAAATACAGCAACACCAGCAAAAACATGTCAAAAACCTACCCACCGACAATTCCCCAAATTATATGCAACAACACCAGCAAAAAACAAGTCAAAAACCCAACAACGACTTCCCCAACTATATGCAGCAGCACCAGCAAAAAACAAGTCGAGTCAAAATCCTCCCCAAAAAATCCTCCCTAACTATATATAGCAGCACCAGCAAAAAACAAGTAAAAAACCGAGGCCTAATATTTTCCCATGAAGTATCGAGCCCTAATTTTTTTCCGCGCCGATTGAGTGAGTGAGTGAGAGAAGATGATGGCAATTGAGTGATTGGGTGAGAGAGAGAGAGATTAAATTTGAAGGATACAACGTTGTTTTGTCATGAACGGCCACGTTATTGTCTATGTTGAACTTGTTGTTTACATAATGTATGAATAAAATTCTATTAAAAATGCTACGTAGAACTTTTTGCCGAAATTTGTCACCGGAGGCACTCAGTTGATCGTTTTTTCTCCGATATGGCAATTAAGTGATTCGGCAAAAAGTTTTGGCTCTAAAGTAAGAGCATTACGAAAATTATAACAAGTGTACTTTTCCCTTGAACTATGTGTCTCAAGTAGTAACTTGAAATTCTTTTTCCAACCGGAGTATTTTCTAGAAAGAAAAACTTTATTCTTTCTTTTTGCTTTTTCAGAGACCAGCGAAAACACTGACCTGGTTTGATGAATGGCCATGGTCCGACTTGAATCGGGCGGTCTCTATGTCGAACGAATCGAGTTTCTTGATTTTCCTCGATCCCTCGTCTCCCTTTGCGGGATCATCGTCTTGATCTTGATCCCAGTGATCATATCCGTTAGTCGAGTTGACTTTGTCAACCTTCAGCCTCTCTTCTTCTGTTATACCCTCGCGCTCCATTCAAGAGAGAGAGAGAGAGAGAGAGAGAGAGAGAGAGAGAGAGAGAGAGAGAGATTTATGAAGATGAGTGTAAGGGAATAATTACGTGACCACCGATGAGGATGAGAGAGAGAGATGAAGATGAGCGGAAGGGAATAATTACGTGACCACCGATGAAGATGAGTGTAAGGGAATAATTACGTGATCACCTGCTTCAAACGAGAAACACAAAGTCAAAGTCACGCATCACAAAGAGAGAACATAAAAGGATCTACCAAGGGATTTGACCGACGGTCAAACAACAACACTTCAATGGAATCGCACTTATAATACATCGTGTCACGCGAAATCCAGAAAAGAAGAACGTAAATTTACTTGCATGCCAGAAAGAAGGGAAGTAACAGAACCTTTCGTTCTAGTGTGGATCAGAACCAGATAGAGGAGATTTTGTAGAGGGAAACAATTGGAAAAAACAAAAATAGAGTCGACAAGACGAGAGAAAAGAGTACACATTTCTTACGTGGTTATGGTTATTGCAAATAGAAAATTACCAAGAAGGAGAGCTACTATTTGTTTGCACAGGCGACCAGCCTATTCTTCCGTACATGTCTCTCGCGGCATGTCAATCTGTGTAATAGATACATCCCCTTTCGAGCGTCGGAAAGCATTTGATTCCACACTCCCCAAAAATCTAAATGTGGTTGGCATTAGCACGTGATACACTTTGAGAGAGAGCCACTTTCCACCAATCTTTCTGATTTGTAGGTCGGAAATTACTGCCTTCATCCACTTTTAATATGAGTCAATCTAAATGTGGTTGGTGTGGAAAATATTGGTAACCCGTTAGTAAAAAGACTTTCTCCAACCTCCTCCATTAAGCCATTATAACATGTTGGTCCCGTTTGTTTCATAAAAAATAAATAATTTGAAAAACATTTTACTAAAATTGATTGCTTGAAATAATTGGCCAATAAAAAATGATTTCATTATCGATAACAATTCATATATAAAATTTTTCGTGAACAATGAAAATATTTTGCGTTCATTCATTTTTGTAAGCGATCATTTTTAGAAAAATATTTTTTAAATAATTTATTTTCCGCAAAATAAATGGAGCCTTCATTCGCCACTCATTTGCCGTCGAAACTACCTAATTAGTCTCATAATATATTTTTGCTGGTTAATCATACGTTATCGGTGCAGGTCTATCACGTAATTTTTTCGAAAAGTGTAATTTTCGATTTTTCCTGTAACTCGGTAAAAATGTCTTTTACATTTAGACGAGCGAATTTCCACTTGTTAACAAGACTGTTTTCTTCTGGCTAAAAGAACAAGACTCGTTTTTTACAACAATATCTGTCTCTGGAATCAAAAGACACCATTATGGCATTATGTATTGGTCATTAAACTCACTGAGGTCGCGTACGAGTGTGTTTCTTTTCGGAGTTATCGATGTGTGAAAGGACTTAATAAGACTTTCATTAATCATGGAGATCAATCACCTTACTCCATTTTCCATAAACACAAACTGGTAGCCTTTGTCTTCCTCTGGGCGTCCCCCTCTTAGTCGGGTCAGACTTAATGGCTCGGTCCGCTGGCGAATAACCTGCGCGTTAAGAAGTCAAGAAAGGGCCTACCAGACCTATTAGGGCGGTCTGAAAAAAGAAAACAAAAGAAAGTAAACAAATGTGTGAAGACAAATTAGGATAGCTAAGGGTTAAATTAAGAGTGAAAATTGCCAAATTGGCAACATGACAAATGATCAACCTCAACCTGCACGATGATAGCGAGGAATTTTTCGATACGACAGCAGCTTTGGTCACGTTCGTGTTTGTGGTCGGGGGTGAATAATTTGTGCAATGTTCCAAAAAAAAGAGAAACTGGGAATGAAGTGTCTGGACTTACTTGTAGAAGGAACAAGCGATTGTGAGAGAAACTCATGAAATGTTTTACAAGTGAAAAAGGGAACGAAGTGTTATCAATCTTTTCTCTTTTCTCTGGTTCTGCCCTTTGTCCATGGCAATCCGAGGGTAAAAGTTGATAGGAAAGAAGCTTTTTCTGCTGCATAAATGGATTGATACCACCAAACCCAGATTGAAAGCTTCGATCTTTCCCACGTTTTCGCCATTCTTCCCCTCCGACTCATCGAATTGGCCTTTGCCCATAAGCTGGGAAATGTCCAAGCATACGCGACGACCTGGATTGATGTTAACAAGGTACGAAACACGACGTTTGATTAGTCCGAAATGAGGTCTTTTTTACCCCTCTGCATCGGGTCAATTCTTTGTCTCGTGTCTGGATGATAAACGTTAGCAGAGAATTCATCGGGGTCATCGGGTGGACCTTCAGCGTGCGAAGCGTTGCGCTCCGAAGAAGAAAAGAAATTGAACAAAACTGGACGTGGTATTGAAGCTTCCAAACCCGTCAAATTAAAGTAACATATCTACCCGCAACCTGTCATAGTATTCTATAGTAAACAATGATCTTACATTAAAAATATATATAAACAATCCTAAATTTACAGACATTACTATTTATTCGAAACTCATGCACAGAAAGAAATTAAGATCAATGATCACGAATATATAAGGTCTAAAATGGTGATAGTCGTTGAAAGATGTTCAATCATACTAAATTTTGTTCTTAACGTTTGTGTACTATATATTACGCTCAAGTTGTAACATAGTAAAGGCAACATTAATAATTCCAAAAACAGTTACGAATCCTAAGAAGTCAATGATTATGTTAATTAACTAAATAATATAGGGAATATAAAAGAAACAAACGGCATTTTAATGGTTATACATATTTAATGCATTAATTATCATCATCATCAAGTAAGTTACGATTTACAAAAAGCTATTTATTAATCATCTCAGGAATTTTGTCCAAAAGTCCAAACTTATTACAAGATAGCCAATGCAATCTAAATTTTTCAATAAATATTTTGACGATTTTTCAATGTAGCTCTTCTGGCCAATCTTGGCTAAAAATTGCTGACGCGGTAGTCCAGTTAGCGCAAGATGTTCTCTGTGGCACAATCGATGCTAACGGTGACGATTTTTGCAATTTTATAAATTTTATAAATTTTTCCTTTTTTTCCTTTTCTTTTCTTTTCTTTCCTTTTTCTTTTTTTCCCCATTTCCCTCCACCAGTCATTGGGGCCTCAGCAAAGAAAAATAGGAAAAAAGAGAACAGAAAAAGGAAAGGAAAAAAAAGGAAAAAAAGAAAAAATTTAGAAAATTTAAAAAAATTGCAAAAATTACCATCGTCAGCGATTTCCGGCTAAAATTGGCCAGAAGAACTATATTGGCAAATCGTTAAAAAGGTTTAAGACTAAATTGACCAAATTAAAAAGTTTAGGATAGAATTGGCCGTCTAGATTCAGTACTTTTTGGACAATTATCCTTCATCACCATTATGCTATCCATCAAAAGAAAACATATTCATTGAAATTTATTACTTTCATTAGAGGGCGATATCTTAATATCTATCTCTTTAGTTTTTAATTAAATAAGATAAAGAGAAGGTTAATGCTATGGCTTCTTGTATTTTTTGATAGACAATATTTTTCAATAGTTGAATCCATTATTATCTCTCCATATCGATTTATGGTATGTCTTTTATGAGTTGAATCTCAACGTTGGTAGCTACTAACATTATCAATGTGGTTTACAGAGAGTAAACTTCATCATGTAGTATACATTTTTGTTTTAAAGTAATTGAATAATTTAAAGATTTTATCTTCTCCTAAATATTGAAAGCTTCTTTTCTCATCTTTTTCTCGCAAGGAGATATGAGCATCTTATAAAAAAATGTTCTTAGAATGGTTTAATAAAGTGCAATAAAGTCATATAACTTATGAGTTCGTTTAAACCATTCTTAACTATTTGTCATTGGCATTTAGCGGCAAAAAAACTCAAACCCCTCACAAAATTATGCACGTATTGCGTCGTAACCATGTGAAAAAGTGTTTTTGCTGATCATTGATAGTTTGACTCGATATAAAGGATCAATTGAAAAGTAAGCTCAATTTTCGGCTAAATTCAAGCGTGAATCAGTTTTTAAGTGAAATTTGAACCAAAACTCAATGAAACCTCATGTTGAACTATAGTCACGGCCCAAGTTAAATCATGCATAGACAGATCTTGAATGTTCAATTCAAGTTTTTCTCTTCATTGCACAGGTACAAGTTTGGGGTTTTGTATTTCACTTAATCCACGTGGGTTAAGTGAAATAAAAACGAGGTTGTTTTAGCTGAAAAATTATGTGACTGAACCTTGTGTTGCGACCTATCTCTCAAGGGCCGAACTCGATGAAGCGGGTTTAGAGGTAAGTGTTTATGAAACGGTCCTATGGCACATCATAAAAGACGGCTTACCGAAGCATCAATCTTTTAATTATCCATATGGTCAGTATGGCACATCATAAAAGATGGCTTACTGAAGTATCGATCTTTTAGTCATCCATACGGTCAATTGATCATGAACGTGGATTTTTTCTAAATTCATACCTTGCGTGACAACATATCGATTTTATCTTCTTTAGGAGTCGTCACTAGCCTAGGTCGGGGGTCGGCTAAACTACCCAACCGAAACACGGGAGTTTCGTTTTGGTTTCTACGAAAACTAGAAATTATGGGTTTGGGGACTATCTTAAGTTAATATTTTTATTAACGCCATTTCGGTACCGCTGAACTTATTATGATTGTTATCTAAGTTGTCATGCATTTATTTTTTTTTATTTTTTTTCATGCCAAAGTCTTAGTCCACTAGGTGATTGTGCATATTGTTTTTGCATTTTCTTTTGAGGTTCTAAACCAATCCTATCTTAGTCTAGAAAAGAAAGAAAGAAACAATTGAATTGAAAAGCATTGCGTAAAGTAAACAACCAAGGTATTAAAATTTGCAAGCTAGTCTAAGTGCGATAAAAATAAACCTGCAACTCGTCGGGTGTTTATTTACAACACAATTATGAAATCCCGAGACATGGTCGGGTAAAATGAATTAGGTACAAATCAAGACCGGATTGGACATCGATCTATCACCATTGTCTTCGATGATCTTAGGGCCACCTCCTCCATGGACCATTTTTCGGGTGTCGATTTTTACATTCACAACATGCATTCACGACAACAATACACAAGAGAACAACCAAAGCAAGGTAATGAATGCAAGCAAATTCACTAAATCAAACACGAGCCTCGGGATCGGCCTTTGCTTGGCATGCATTTCGATTCACCCACCCACTTAATCATCTAACATTGTTTGATTAATGGTTAACGATAACGAGCTACCATTTGCATTCACAAAACGACAATTCATATCGGTTTACCCCTAAAGTCGGGTTCTAAGTGACCATCAT